GTGCCTCGCTTTCGCTAGAAACCTTGGGAACCTCTACCAGGCTTCGGGAGGTCGCTGGAAAGAGTAGAAATCGGTCAAATAGAGAGATAACATGCCGAGGGAGTTGGTCTGCTAGAGAGTACATTTTGCCTGCAAACTATCCTGGCATGCTATCACTCTATTTGGCCGATTTTTACTCTTTCCAGTCTCCTTCCGAAGCCTGGTAGTGGGTTTCATATATTCTAGAGCACAGCAAAAGCGTTCAAAATCACACATCTATTTGGAGATAACAAAAACACTATTATTATCTTTTATAGGTTATAGAAATAATGGTTTTAGACCTGTGGAGCCAATTTTATCCCTCTCACCAAAAAAAATCCCTGCCTCTGTTGTCCTCGGACTGAAGTTAGCGTCCCGTCCAAGTTCAACTCTTCAGTTAGCGTAAACATGGCGCATCTGCGCACGGGTGATGACATACATAGGCCAGGCGGGCGGGTAGACATGACGAAAACTGCTAAGACCCACGTAATAGATACCGTACTACAGACAACCCATCTTATCCTACTCAAACTCGAAAGTTTGGACGACACAAAACAGGTCATAACATAAGGCCACAGCAAGTAATTTTTATGGATGACATCAGGGCGCGCATTAATTTTCGCCTGATTTTGAAAAAAAAAACAAGAAATTTTGTTGCCTTCTGACAGTGGTCAACATGCCGAAAATGGGCAAAGATGTCTGTTGCCATGCCGGAGCGTGGATGGCAGATATGAAGAGAGGAGAGAAGAAAAGTATCTGATTTAATGTGTTTTTCTTACTTTGATGCAGTGATGTGTGATGTTGGCTGTGTATATGTGATGTTCCCACTGAATGAAAACCATTTGTACCATGATTGAGTCAAAATTTTAAAATGTAGGAACCTTGTTTTTTTCGGCCCGCCTTGTTTTTTTTCGCCCGCTCGCATTAGATTTGGAGTCTGCGGAGGATGTCATCCATAAACTTAACTTGCTGTGGCCTAACCCAATATTGTTAAAACCAACTGTAGCCTCCTCCACGTAATAGGTACGTATACCGTACTACAGACCTTATCCTACTCAAACTGTGTACAGTTTAGAAAGTGGCTTTTTGTTTCAAGAAAGCATCTGACATAAAACAGGCCATAACATAGTCCTATATTGTTAAAACCCATCACCCCAGGGGTCTATAGCTACTTTTGAGGTTAGTATACTGTAGTCTCCTCCGTGTAATAGATACTGTACTACTACAGACAAACCATCAGTATCCTATTCAAACTTTGTACGGTTCATTTTTGACATCGAAAGTTTGGATGACTATATAAAACAGATCATAACATAACCTTATATTGTTGAAATCCAAATATATAGGAGTCTACTTTTAAAGCTAGTAGAATATAGCCTCGACCAGGCCTTCCTAAGGAGAATCAGTAATTGACCAGAGGAGTGAGCCTAAAGGTATTTCCAAGGGAAAAATCAACTCTATAGGGTGGCCAAACTTTGGTCTGCACCAGACTAACAACACTAGTACTGGTTCAAAAACAGTAAAATTTTGGCAAATAGGGATGATAAATGGCCAGGGAAGTTTGGCCATCATAGAGTTCGGCGGTTGGCCCTTTTTTGCCGTATTCTACAACCTGTACCCCCGTAGGAAAGCCTGGTAGAGGCTAGCCAAACTCAGTGTAGCCTACGCGTTACAGTTAAGCCTCGGTCACAACCCACCGTACGTGCTTTTTGTCCGTACGTTTTTTTGGGATCCTACGTCTGCTACGTTTTTTCTGAAAACGTGGGGAAGGAGTAGCATCGACGCACGTCACTCGCACGGTTTCGCAAGGTGTAAGAGTGTGGTCTGCACGCCACGTCTGGCCGTGAGCGGTTGCGTGCATCGTACGTTGCGCAAGTGGTAAGTGAGTTGTACGTGCTTACAACGTACGATCTCTGTGCGATTGCAACTTTACCGTAAGGCAGCACGTTGAAGCACGTACGTCGGGTTGCGACCGAAGCTTAAGACTGCCATGCCAAAATCGTCTCGCACCAAGTACTACGGTTCCGTGTACTCCTTACATGGAATGTGGCCAGGATCAAACGCTAGGAAACTGAGCAGGGTTAAGGTGTCCTTAAGTAAAGACGTCACACCGGTGTCGTGTGTTCCTTCAAGTAAACAGGAAGCTTCTTGAAGAAACCTTACGGATCTCCCGCACTGCGCATGCGCGATTTGAGCCACAAAAACAATGACGTCACGAGAAGAGTATTTTCAAAGAGCCGCGCGTGTATGATGACGTCATACGGATGTCTTGAAGGATTGTTACAAAAGTTACTTAAGACTTATTTGCGGGGTTCTTTTCGCTTCCGGTGGTGTTCGCTGGTGACACCTCAATGTCTGTTGCCAAAACAGATCGTTTTGTGTCGTCCTTGCCCCACGCGTTGTAGGAAAATGAAGACACAACATGCAAAACATAATATTGAATAACGTCCCTGCACATCGTAACTTGTACATACGGCGGATCGTCATTTTTCTGCATTGTCTCTTGTCAATTGCAAGAAAAATACGCAAAGTCCTTTAGCATCTACCTTGCTTCAGAGGCGACTGAAAAGAGCAGAAATTATAGACTTAGTTCCCTGACATTGTCTATTCGGCTAATTTCTACTCTTTCTAGACGCCTCTGAAGCCTGGTACAGGCTAACAGGTCCTTACGAAACAATATAAAGCTGGTCTCATTTTCTTCAACTTTTGCTCGGAAAGCTGCGACACGGAATGTACCAATCATTACACAACCGAGCCGTGCCCTCGTCCCTCGTCGGCGATGACCCGAAGAGAGCCGAGTCAAGTGACACCGGCGCCCGAAGCACTTTCGGACCCGAGCCAAAACAACCCACTGCCAGGGCACGTCCATTTTAAAACTCAAGGGAAACGCCGTCTGGTAATCTCTCAAACAGTTAATTATGTTTACCGAAGAAAAACATTGTTTTTGCTACGTTTCTTCTTCTTCCTCTTCTTCTCCAAACCGAAGAGGTCAATGACCTGAAGCAGACGACTGTGACCATGGTAACTGGTGTTGGGTTACATAATGTTGCAATTTTATAGCAGGAAGGATTTAGACTCCTGTCTGCCCATATACATGTCGTATGAATGTGTCTGAGTAAGAATTAACAGAGCAGAACGTATGCGAAGGTAAACATTATATATTTGCTTTGCAAATGTTACCTTTCTAGTCTTAAATTTATTTCTCTAGAGCACACTACTAATCTTTTCACATCATTTTTTGCCTCCCCGAAACTTTCCTTCGGAAATCTTTTCCCAAGCACCCTTCCTTACATTTAATATGGACCAGCCCTGACTGTTGCACGCTTTCTAACGTTCGGCTATGTCCTGTCCAAGGCTTTAAGCCCTGTTTGTGTACAAACGTTAATTTTCAGGTTCCTGGCTGTGTTGAGACGTGGTTCTGTGACCCCCACCGCCCCTCGTGTTGTGTTATCTCTAAAAGCCGCGATGATCGCATCCAAGCTGCCTGTATAAATGGTGCGAGTCGGGAGCGCAGCCAAAAGCAATAATTTCCCGTCCACAAACGCTTACACAAGAAGCCTGCACGGGTGTACTTGAGCTCCCTGCGCTTTTCTTGGCTGTTGTAGTAAGGCAATGTTATGTTTATCTTGTCCCCAAACGGGTGGCTATGCACTAAAGCATAGCCTGGTTACCAGACTAGCTCTCGGGTCTTATTGCGGATAAAGACTTGGGGGCTAAAATAGGTCTGGTAACCAGGCTACTAAAGTTCGCATTGGTATATAGGGATGTAAAATTTGATCGTCATCTTTGTTTTGAAATTATCAGAAGCAATAATTGTCATATCAATCACATTAATCACACAGAGAGGCTTCAGTGCGTTAAAAACACGATGGTTATCAGATACTTACAATTCGCCCTATCCTTGAATTGAGCCATTAAAGGGCCTTAATTATGCAATAATTCAAGCTAGACGCGACGTACGTATGACCACAGATATAATTTCCAAGCAGATCCTAGGGTGGCAAAAGACAGTATCAAATTGGACAGGCGTATACTAGACCATCTCTGGCTAATGGATACTGCCTGGCCAATTTGATACTGCTTTTGCCACCCTAAGATCTGCTTGGTACTCTCCAAGCAGAGGTTTGGGTTTTGGGGTATTTTAGCGTGTTTTAGGCTTTTTTTATCGTGGTATCTTTTTTGCACTTTTGTTGGGTTGGGTGAAAGAAAAATTCCAGTGCAAAAAAAAGAGAAACCCGATAAAAAGCCTAAAAACACGCTAAAAATACTAGTACCCCAAAAACCCAAACCAATTTGATACTGTCTTTTGCCACCCTAAGATCTGCTTGGAGATTACCACACATACACCTGTAACTCCATCCACCATGCCGCATGCCAGGCACGCCCCTGCCCCCCTCCCCCTGTCCCCGACACAACGCCTCCCGCTGTACTCATATTGTCGGCATCCCGCCGGCATCACGTCCCGGCATCCCGTAGCCTGGTGTCCAGTCTATCGCTGTTAGGGCGGGATCTCATCGGGGCTGCAGGAGCTCTTCCCCGCCCGACTCAGCTAGGTTCCCCGGTAG